GGACGGACGGACGGACGGACACACGCTCATGCGATTCTACAAGCTGCATCTGACTATGTCAGATGAGCTAATAATTAAGTGGCAAAGCAGGTTACAACCCTTTTGCAGCTTTTTCACAATTCCAAGAAAGAGTTTTGCTGTTGCCCTCATCCCAGCGGTGGTCACCCCTACACATTGAATAATGAACGCGACTTAAAGTTAAACAATGCCGTGATGTGATGTGATGTGCAATGAGTGATGTGTGTGTTTGAGCACACACACGCGCCCACACGCATATGCTCGCTCGCTCGCACGCACGCACGCACGCACGCACGCACACACAGAGAGGGAGAGAGATAAAGAGAGAGTTTAAGAATGTGAATTAGTTAAACATGTCTTGATAATAAAACAAAAATTACATGATTAGGCCAAACAAAAAAATACCTTTGGTTCAGGTCACATGGATTGTTAAAATTAGAGTAGGTAAGTAGGTATAACATTTTTTTTTTAAATTTTTTCCCTGCAAAAACATGGGTAGGCAGGAATGTAATTTTTTTCCCCACAAGTTAAATATAGGGTATACAGCTTGAAATGCATTTTTCGATTGTTGCAAAATGTGAACACCTGGATAGTAGTGTTAGGAATCACTCCAAAAACGGAGCTTAATTAATCGTCCCTTTGAACGAGTGAGTAACCGAAGTGTAAACGGCTCTGCGGCCGCGTATAGCACGATAGCATGTGTATACTATATAGTACGCGATCGATCGTGTACATCAAAGCCGGCCGCCGCGCCATACGACCTTCAGGCTCTGTTTATGAAGTAGCCGGCCCAGGCCGTATGATCGGCAGGCGGTATCTTTGAATTTTATATTTTCTTGAAACCCTCTATAAGTGACCGCAGTCGCACATTTTTTACTCCGAAATGTGAAGTCGGGCAGGTGACCCGAACCAAAGGTAATTTTTTGGTCGGCCTTAGTTATAGTGATCTTTAGTGATCACATCTTGTTGCTCATGAAGAGAATAGTTCTACTAAAAAGATATTTGTCGTAGTCAGAATGAAGGCTGTACATTTACTCAAAGGTGCCTCAAATATAATCTCCTGCGATCTACATTTTCAAAATTTTCTGGGCGATGACCCCCAGACCTGTGCGTACACATCCATTTCACCCTAGCTATGCCCCTGACCTATCTGTTTACTATGTACATTCCATACATACTGCAAGGCTCGACACTAGCGGTGGCCCGGTGGACCGGGGCCACCAAAACTTGATGTCGGGCCACCAAAATTTCCAAAAGTTAAAATTTGGTGGCCCGATCGGGCCACTAAAATTTCAAAGTGTCTATGTGATAAAAATAATTGTTTCTTACGTGCTAATCTCATTCAAAAGAGAGCGAGCAATTCGCGGAGCGAGGGCACACGTACGCACGTGCAGCATTCTACCGCGGGCATACACGGGCGCACGGTTTATCGATCGTCTACTGCGGCTGCAACAAGCCACGTTATTGTGTTAGACTGGTATCCGGCCTCACGCTCTGCTAGACAATGTACACACTCTGCGACGAACAGTTCGGCCGCGAACCAGTCTAGCCAGAGGTCAAAATCTGAGCGGGCGCAGGCCATAGCATATTTGCAAGCGCCAGCATACATGTGATTACATTGTATCAAGCGAACCAGACAATGCGTCTAGACAATACGCCTGTCTGCAGTGTACTGTGGAGGCGTATGTAAAATGAACGCGAGCGATGAGAGTTTCGAAGGCAAACAATTGTCATAATAAAAAAATGATGAAATTTCTTCCTTTTTTGATGTATTTTGTTAAAAATGTTAAAAATACGGGACACACATGCGTCCCGGGAAGGGTCGGTACGGGACGCGGGACACATGGGCAAAATACGGGACGTCTGGTCACCCTGATTGCTAGCTAGCTGCACTGGTGCTCACTGTTTCGGATCCGAAGCGAAACTGCCAGCGTTCGAAAGTTTGCGTAGAATAACTGAACTATTCCATGAAGATGATCAGTATTTTAATCCGAAGTGTAATATTAGTGCTTTGTAAGTTTATTTATGCATTTTCTCTGTCTCTTTACGCAACGAAATATTGAACTTAGTCTTAGACATGGCTGCTTTTTCTTTTTAAACGCATGTTGTTGCACTTTGTTGATATAATTATGGTTCTACTTTATCTTATTAAATCTGCAATATTTTATTTTTACAGTTTCAAAGCCTGCCAGACATTTTAACTTTCATGAGATTAAATGTATATGTTTTATTTTAACATGAAAAGCCAATATGTTGTTGTTTTATTACAGGTACTTGTTTTAATATTTGCATGCTCTGTGATTTTGATCTTCTTGAACGTCTGAACTGATCGATAGCATGTGCACGCGCGTGTTTAGATAAATAATGAGTGAAAGTGGAAAAATGGTATGCAAGATTCTGGTGAAAATTTGATGCCGTGGAATGGATAATTCAAATGTATGCCTCAATCATCAATTATGTCAGTGTGTGCCTTTGTGTGGGGTTTGTTTAAAGACTTGTGCAAGTGCATCAGACGGCCCAATTTTCAAATAATATACAATACGAGATTGAAATAAAGATTTATAATGTTTTTCTTTGTTTTTTTTTCGGGCCACCAGATTTCATTTTCGGGCCACCAAAAATTGAAAATCAATGAAAAGTTAGTGTCGAGCCTTGCATACTGTTAACATTCCATACATACCCGACTCGAGGGGGGAAATTTCACGCACGCACCTACGCACGCACGCACGCGCACACACACACACGTATCGGGGGACATCGCACAAACACGTATGTACCGGGGTCGGGGGTCATCTCCTTCTCCGTCTCGGCGTCAGAGCTTTCGGACGGCGTCAGTGACGCGTCGTCGGCACTGTAATCGTCGCTGCTAGACGACGCGACCTCGCGACGCAGGCAGGCGACGATCTCGGACGACGCTGCGACGTCAATCGGCGTCTTGCCGTGCGCGTTGTGCTGCATCGCGTCGGCGCCGTGCCGGATCAACACGGCCACCAGGCGACGGTGTCCGTTCATCGCCGCGTCGTGCAGCGGCGTGTCGTCGTCGCCGCCCGCCGAGTTAGCGTTCGCGCCGGCGCGGAGGAGTATCTTCGCGACGTCGAACCAGCCGTGGTTGCACGCCTCGTGTAGCGCCGACCATCCGGCGAAGTCTCGCGCGTTCACGTCCGCGCCCGCCTTGATCAGCTTGCGACACTGCTTGCCGTCGCCGCGTATCGCCGCCAGGTGGAGCGGCGCCTCCCCGCGCTCGTTGCGCTTGTTCGCTTTGCGGTACGCGCTCCCGGAGGATGAGGAAGCTGCAGAGGACGAGGATGGCTTCCGTCCGGACGGCGTCGTCTGCGGCGAAGGCTTCGGGGATTCAGACGTAGAGCTCTCGGCGGTCATCTGCATCAGCAGCGCCATCTGCTGGCGCTCTGATAGGGGAACTGAAGTGTAACTCGATCATATGTAATGTTCGTTCTTAACTACGCACGCGCACGCGTTATAAGGCCGACTTCGACGATGGGGCAGATCTGGTACGACGCAAATGCGATTATATTAAACATTAAACATGATAAATTGATACGACTATTCAACTGTCCTGATGATCGAGTGGATTTTGTGTGATACATACACGTTAAATGCGCCGTTGCGCAAATTTAAAACCGTGTTGACACAGCCACGCGACAGCGGTGCAACTTGAGCGATTTTGTTCAGAGATCCGAGTTTGCGCCGATTACTCTCGATGCCGAAACGCGTCCAAACTAGAATGCATACGAATACCTACGCGTACAAAGGCCGCACTGCGAAAAGCACCAACCTGAAAGACGGGAGGGTGTGGACTTTGTCGTAGGGGGCGCCGCTGATGCACCGGCCTCGCCCCCACTCTTCCTTCGCTTCGGCGTGCTTCGCTTGTCCTCGTCGGCCGGCGTAGAGCTGCCGGCCGCTCCGAACAACTTGCGTTTCGACAGAGAAGTTTTCGCCTCTGCCTTCGAGGCCGACTGAGGCGTCTTTGAAGAGTTTGGCTTCTCCATGTGGATGAAATTACAGAAGCTGAGAACAAAAGAGGACAAAATTATATCTCACGTCTGAATGTGTCCGGGCGCATTTGTCTATCTGGGGCCCCGTTGTCAGAAACAAAATTTGACTTCACATTAGTCTTAACATCAGTCTTAACGTTAGTCTTAACATAAGTATTAACGTTAACTATTTCTCGAAGACCGTCGACAGGAACATGGTCAAGTTTACGAGTTTCTTATACACAGTGCACACAGGTCTGGTCTAGATAAGCAAAAGGTAACATTGAGATTGATGTTGAGACTAATTTTGTTTCTGACAGCAGGCCCCTGAAAAACACGTGAGATTATTGATATAATGAATAATATATTTAATATTATGATAAGTGTAACGCAGGACTAGGGTTATCTAACTGGGTGGTCTGCCCATCCTAGCAATTGCAATTACTCCTGATATGATTTGGAGCACTTGTAGATCCAGAGAAGAAGGGAACATCATTCCCCACCATGCAAGCCCCCCCCCCCATCCAAGAATCAATCCTAGAAAATGCTTGAGAAATGCAAATCGGTGTACAATTATAAACATTTTAAACCTCAATTTTAATCACGGTTTCCCAGATTTTGTGTCGAAAGACAAGACAGAGACAGACAAGAGACCAGATATTGACACTGAAGCACTAAAATGCACAGCTGGACGAGGCTGGGGGGCTTACTGCACTCCCCATATACCATGCTCGCCGGTGCCCCCCCCCCACATTACCATTGCCACATTCCATGATCTGGAATCCCCTTCCCCTCTCACCCACACCGAGGGCTAGCATGCATACACTCACGCCACCCACGTTTGACCACATGCAGAGTAATGGGTAGTACTGATACATTCCTAGGAAACCCAGTACAATACGGTACCAGTGTGCCGCAGGGTTCTCCCTACGTTGCGCAAACGAGGCGCCGGCGCCCCGTTTGGGAAATCTCCCCCCTGTTTCAATTTCATCCTGGGGAGAACCCTGTGCCGGCTGTGGAAAAAAACACCCGATCTATAATATCACAATCTATGATATCACACAACTATATTATCAACTTGAACAAGGAAATACCAAAATTGTCACATCTATCCAGTTAGACTGACACTTGCCCTCAATTCCTGAATGCAGATGTGTATCTAGAACCCATAGAGACACGAAGGACACCTACCAACTTGCTACTAATACCATACCAAACACTAAGATGGATCATAGATAAGATAGTGGGATAGTAAGCTGTCACTGTGTCATGTTTGCCTTAGGATGATAATTGTGTAAAGGGAAGAAGGTGATGTTATCGGTGGTACACTTGAATACACAGCCATAACACAGAATGGCAGTAGTAAATACAGACCTGCCAATTCGTGAAAAAAAATCTGTGTCTCCAGAAACTAAGACGTGTTTTTCAGTTTTTTTTTAGTTTTTAAACCTTATAAATTTTTTTTTAAAAGACAAAAATTCTTGGCAACCCACCACCAATATACTACACCACCTGCTTGATAACAAATCTTGTGATTTCGCTTTGTCACGTTCTTACCATATATCCGTCGGTCTTCCCACTTTCTCTGTTTTTAATAATCATAATTATATCCACTAACCTCATGTGCACATTAAAGTGTTATCAATTAAATATTGTGTTTTGGTATTAATGTCATTGTCTGTACTGTAACGTTTAATTACAGGCTACAGCTCTCATAATAGTTTCTATCCTTACTCTCTGTAAAATTAGAGCTGTATCATGTATGCCAATTTGTTTTTTTTTGGCAATTACATCAAATCACTAAAGTACAGCTATAGGCATATAAAACACAATTACACGAATTGCATACTTCACATGGACAAAGACAAAACGTAAAGCATATTATCACTGTACACTGTACTGCAGGATCAGTACCAGATAGTGAGATACATTCTGGAAAGAACAAAGGACAGTCACTAAACAGAAGGAATTGAACTTGTTTACGCAATAAATATTTATAGCCCCAGAATATTGTTATACATACAGACTCACCCGCTGCAATACGCTAGCGCGACTACCGCACACATAATATATACATAATATTATGAATAACTATCACGGAAAAGCTTGATGATTCATAATTAGGCGTAACGTCTAAGTTTTGACTAGGGCCTATCTCTCTGGCTGTGCCAACTGGTTGTTGTGTCTTAGTCTTACTGCCTGCGTTGGGAATCTATAGTAATTAGTATAACTATAAGTATAATATACAGGTAAGTTTCTACGGTATATTGCTCCGTTACGCAATCAATGTGGAACTGGGAGAAAGATCACGATAGTAAGCATATACTTAACACTTAACCATATTAGTAACTTAACAAATATTAAACAAGAATAAATATTTACCTACTACTGTATCAAAGCGGCGAAGGAGCTAGGCTACAACATGAGGCGGAACCAATGGGGTTATTGCAAAATTCTGTCGCGCGGTGGCGCGCTGGGCGTTGTTACCGATGCGGTCTTGTTTTTGCAATAAAAAAGATGTTGCGTAAATAACCTCATTGGCATGTGAAACATGTAAGGTAGGCGCCATCTTTGATCACCAACCGCAGAACGGAAACCAAGCTCAACCGTATTAGAACTGGACATACAAAACTGAAAGACCACATGTTCAAGATCAGGGCAAGCGATAGTCCCCTCTGCGATTGTGGACTTGCCAATGAGACCGTGGACCACAAGATCTTCCATTGCTCACGACTCAGGGTTAGCAGGGAGAAGATGACCGACACGATCGGGTATGTGAAGACCAACACTGGCAACAGCAACACCAAGCGTGTATACATTGTGACCATGACCTCGTGTAACAGGAGGATTAATGAATAACAACAACAACAATTGTTCATACTTTGCCTTGCTGTATGAAGTAACTACGATTTGACCTCTGTATCCATGGGTTTATGCATATGTAACAAGTGAAATGTACACCCTTCAGTTGTACTGTCAAAAGTCAAAAGTACCACTGTTTTTTGCACAGCATGACTATGAGTATGACTTGTCAGGCCCACCAAACTACTGCCATCCTTATTATCCAAAAAGATTTGTTGATGTATGCACCCGTTATATAATAACGAAACTTTATAACACAAATAAAAGTCGGAGACTCTTATCTTTGAAACGCATATTGCAGTGTTACTGTCGACCAATGTGAAACAACATGTTATGATGTTACTGGTCAGGGTCACAGGGTGTGATCATAGACCAAACATGGCGCTTTGTAGTGTCCACATGGTCTATTGTTTTGATGAACTTGTTGATTGATATCTTGTTGGTGCTCGTTGCATTTTATTCTTTTAGGTTGAATATGACTATGAGTATCTACTTTGATTAGGATTCCTGTTATTTGTTGGTATGCATTAATGGGTTATGCTAGTGCCAGCGAGTCATATTAGACAAGTAATAAGTATACACATATTAGACACTAGATAAGTAGACATTAATTAGACATTAATTAAGACATTAATTACTAAATTAGACAAGTACTGAAGTAGACATATTTAGACATTATCTACCACATAGTACATACACTCACAGGCACTTGAAGCGTTTCAACTGTAAACACACGCCGCCGCCATTGCGCGCACACTGACACATAAATATATAGCGCTTTCTCACCTGCTATATATTTATGTGTCAGTGTGCGCGCAATGGCGGCGGCGTGTGTTTACAGTTGAAACGCTTCAAGTGCCTGTGCATACACTGTTCACACACTGTGACATAGCTCCAAGAAACGGTATTGCTAGGGTTAGAATACCGACGTTATTGACGTTAGTCACACAGCCTGGGCCGCGTTTCACTAACGTCCGCTAAAAGTTATTCGTTAACCTACGAAAGTTGTTCATTCGCTAAATAGCGAACGAAGGCATACTGAACAACTTACTGAATAACTTTACTGATCAACTTTACCGAACAACGCGTTTCACTAACGCTTCGCTATGCTCTCGCTATTTAGCGAACAACTTCGCGTCAGCTGGCGGCAACTACAAACACGCGGCGCAGTTGTTACTAGGTTACGCTATACATATTGGTTGGCTCAGTGTGCCAGCGCTCGCGACACTTTGTAAATTATTCCTGACATAGATGCTTTGCTGATTCCTAGTGTATCACTAGCCGTTTGCTGAATGCTTCCAGTTGCATAAAATCGCAATGCCGCAAATACTTGCAAAGGCGCAGAAATGGCTCGAGATCTCATTGTCCTTGGGCTGAGCTCATCGTCCAGTTGATCTACTAGATTAGCAATGACATGCCTGGATGGGCAATCTATATCCGGCGATAGTTTCTGTATCATTGTAGGCATCAAACGGTTGTGTTCTGTCTCTGAAAACTCTTTCTCTTCGTAAATGTCCTCTTTCATTATCTCGATTATAAGCTTGATACAATAAAAAGTTTGCAATGCTTGTGTTTGGATTAGCTAAGATTATATTATATTATTTTATTTTTATTTTATTTCCATATGTAATAATAAGTCTTCCCGATTTTTATATGTTTGCATTTTTATCTTTGGAACTTATAGTGAAAACGCCTAAACCACACAGAAATGCGACACGGCGAAATCAAAAGCTTTGGCTCTGGCCCCCCCCCCCATCTGTACGACGCGCCCCATTAAGTCGGCGAGTTCCCTTCTCGTCCCAAATTCTGCCTTCTGTTCCCGCTAAAATTGCGGACTGTTCGCGTGGCAGCTAGCATGCCGTGCGCCGACCTATGCATTCGTGCACGGATTCTCATAGCTGCCAGCGCGCATACTGTCGTCGCGCGTTCCTCGCGGTCGTGTCGCCTTCCGCGAAAATGAGCGCAAGATGCGCCTGGGAGCGGTTAGTATCAAACACCTCCTTTTTGGCAACACTTCTTGGTATCCCGTCTCATCTGGCATATATGATACAATATATTACATCAGCCGGGTTTTCATTATCTTTATCGTAAGC